TTTGAAACACATGCATCACCAATACAACCATCGAAACAATTTACGCCGAAATCATACATCTCTCAAAAAACACCTCACCAAAGCACAATGGGAGAGCAGTACAGATTTCACCACTCCCAAGAAAACAAACAGTACCCCTTCAAAAATCATCAACGTTGGTTCTCCCCTGCAGCCTCAAAAGCATAAATTTGGTTACTTAGGCTCGCTGCAGTTCAAAAAGCGGTGCCAAGACACACTTTCGATCTATCGCGACGATAAGATATCTACAATCAAAGTGTCGTAAATAAAACATTAAAAATGTTCACGATTAGGAGCCAAAGTTTGGGCATGTGTAGTACTACTGCTTAATTCCCTAAATCCTCCAAATGCAGGGTACTCTTCAAATTAGCGCCAACTTTTAGCAATTCACTTCTGCCACCGCACATTCCAGAACTTAGCCCATAACAAGCACCAGCAGATCTCCAAATTATCCACCTTTTTCCCATTCCATCCGCTCCTGTTAAAGCTCTAGGCTAACCGCCTGAGACACAAATTGGTGTGGGCAGTGTTTGTATGAACACCTCATTATTGCCTACTTGAGGCTTAACTTGGCCAAACCGACATTGACAAAGCATGACACGAGGCGCTTATAAGCTTCACTTGCTGGGCTTTGGCGAAACGGGAATATAAATGAATTTTAAGTGATTTTAAGTTATTTCGTTGGTCATTTTAACAAAGTTATCGTATGTTAAGAACATAAAATCGCTGTGAAAAAAAAGATCCCACTGGATGCTATCAAGTAACAAAAAAAGGAAATGGATCATTATTGGTGTTATAAACGTGAAAAAAAGGCTAAAGTTGTTATCAAGTGAGGAGAATGCAGTGCTCACATATTTCCAAATTTCGCGCCCAACGGAATCAGAGCCTTCGTGGCAGTAGCCATGGTTACAGCAGGCACCAGAAAAAATCTTTCCAACCAATGGCACCAGTGATATACGATTTCAAAGGCTGTCACTCGTCCGTCCGCCGCGGGTGGACAAATGGGACGCGCCAAGAGGAGCCAGGGAAAGGGCTGCAACAGAGGTTGTCAGAATCAGATGAAGACATCAGAGGACAGTGGTGTATGAAGGAGGATCCTACTTTTCGAAGTTGCGGCCATACGTAATGCAGTGCAAAACCCCACACGATAAGGAGCCAGGTGAGTAGACGTGGGAGGGTTGGCTGGAGGATCGGGACGGTGAACACCGTACTCACGTGGACTGCGAAACCGAGGATAGCCCAGATAATGATGAGAATGAGGTCGTTGCGCACGCGAATCAGCATGGCAGCAATTATTCGACCTGGCAGAGGGTCATGGATGTCGGATGAAGATGGTACATCGATGCCAGGGGTAGTGGAAAGGGGAGGAGGTGGAGAGGGAGGCGGAGAGACTCCTTCAGGCACAGGAGAGAGGACGGAAGAGGAGGCACGACGGCAGCGTGAGGGTGGCAGTTGAAGGTTGCTTGTGGAATGTACCGAACCTAGGGACTGCCGACCGCTGCCCGACTCGCAGGCCACTGTCATGAATTCGTCATCTATTTAACCCGAATAGGCACGAGGTCTCTCAAATACCTAACAGCATAATTGCTCTATTCTTCAGTATGTAAGTTTCGTATCTAACACTCAACAGTCAAAGGTTATCCAACGCACCATAGCTGTCTTGAACAAGGAAAACTTTAGTAAATTGATAGAAGTTTCACTAAAAAAGCAACCTCTGTAATGCGTGGGTTCTGTTGTCAGGTTTGGCACTGATAAAGAAGTTTTATCTCGACTAAAGGTCTATCAAGGCGGTCCAAACAAGCGAAATACGACGTCTGTCCAACACAGAGTCGTGATTGCCCAAGAGTTCAAAAAAAAATAAGATGCCTCAAAATTATCCCGTACGTTTCAGAAGGTCTCTATGCCTTCCCGTAGATATCGCATGAGTGAAGACGTGAACCTCAGCGTTTTCATTCACCCAAACAACTTTATGGAGTTAAAGTGATCACATGAGCTTGAGACATTTGATGAACATAAGAGCAACCCAATATACCAATCAATCATTCCTGTGGTAGTATCAAACCTTTTGAAAGTAATGCGATACTTTGGTTATTAAGATAGTTAAAAAAACCATAAAATTGAGGTTATTTCACACTCTGTATGCGCAACCTACCCGTCAACCCATCATCGAACGGAGACGACACCAACAACTCTGGTGTTGACACCCTCGGCAGCGGTGGAGGCGTCAACGAAGAGGAGAGTTGTAATGACAGCGATCGCTCCGTACCGCCGCAAGATTCCATCGGCCACAGCGAGGGCTGAGATTGTTGCCCTTGTCGCCTACTTGTAGCACGAAACCAGGAGGCCGGTTCACATTCCTCGTCGCCACTTTTTTGATCGTAGAAAGTCACCGAACTAGCAGTTCCTCGCTTCCATGGCCGCTGCTTTTGATGCCGTTGTCGATGGCAGTGTGAAAACTCAAGACCAGTCTTCACAATGAAGAGATTCTGAAGACATTGAGAAACTCGTTGGAAAAGGTAGCGAAGATGAGATTGAGACGACGTAGAGGGCAATCTCTGATCGACGTTATTTGTTGCGGTGATGTGGATGAAGAGCAGTCGAATGATGCCAACATCGTTGGGTGTGCGACTGAGGAGGAAACACAATGCCAGGTAAAGGCCCCAAAAGGAGGAGAAGAAGATGTCCTGAGGATTGCGATTCTAAAGAAGCACACAAGCACAAAGTACACTGATTCATTCCAATTATTTGAATGTTTACCTACTTAACAGACGAGACTGAAATTACGGAGAAAAATGCTTGCCCATAATGATGCAAGGATGAGGATTTGGTGCAGCTTAGACCTGCAATGAAATTTTACCCCAATGCTAAACGCACCCCGGAGAGCCAAGCGCCATATGACCATTCCGGTTAACTGGCGGCCAAGGTTCGGCTTACAACACAGACAGCAGGTAATTCAATCATTAACCCTTGGGTATAAGACAAAAAGAAATGCAACCCCGAAATACAACCAAAGCGTGGATCCTCGTGGTGGGATAACACTAGTAGAGTGATAAAGGGCCGATGAGTGGTAAATTGTTACGATGGCATCAAAAGTCTCATAAAATACTGCCAGAAATGAGCACAAAGTTGACCATAGACCAATGCGGTTTCCATGATAGTGTGGTGGAGACAGTCATGAGCTCCCCACATCTTTAAACATCTTCGAGGAAGAGAGTCAGCAGCACAAGAGCCATATTTTCTTGACTAACCTAAAAATCAGAACTAGCTGAAGTGATCTCTGAAGCATTCAGGGCTTGAATCAAATGTACCTGTTGTACAAAAAAAATAATAAAGTGGACTGCTGAAATGAATTGCAATAGTCATCCGATCACCCTGCATTATAAAAGGGTATTTTACCAATTTCATTTGGAAAGCACCATTTACACGAATATATTAGAATTAATGAATGCAATAGGATAGTACCGAAAATAAAGCCGATTTCAAAGACAGAGAAGATTTTCACGAAATGCGATTAGCGTTTGGAAATTGAATGCATCCCTCAAGGATGGCTTTCTACCCCTAACACCGAAGAAGTGAGTTTTGTTGGAGCCATAAATCCTTCAGTCATGTTTGCCAGTTCCTTTATTGTTACATTGAATCGGGAAAGTTATCCCGGAAGCAGAGGAGTGAATTAACCTAATAGGTGACAGGGCAACACGACTGTAAGACCATGAATTAATGAGCCTTCACTTAAGTCACATATATCGTAACAACTTTTGTCATCGCTGCTTTATTATAAAAGCGTAAAAAAAAGAACTTGGTTTCGTGTGTGGTGGTGAAGTGATCATCAAAATAAATTTCGTGCTGAAGGCCAAAGACCATTTACAGCAATCTGATGTAGCATTCAAGGGAGCACAAAGTAGGTCCTTTGGGGAACAGCTGAGACTACTAAATCCGAGTCTCATGCCATATGCCATACACCACGACCACTCTTCAGGATGGGGAGGAGACAAGAGAATAGAGATAATCGTTGATGACATTTCTCGGCAACATGATTGCTCCCAGTTTTGGGGATAAGATTAATTACATGACGGCTGTGAAATTGAGTGGGGTAAAGTGGGGCGGTTTAACCCTCCCTAGGACCTTTAAGAAAGCAACTTTGTAAAATGGTGAGGCTCATGAAGCATAAGATGGCAATTACCACTACTTCTACAAAATGTTGTGAAAGTTTTTAGCCTATCCAATAGGTACGTTGACCACATGTTAAGCGAAATGGCAGTAGGGCCAGGTACTGTTGCAGCATCGACACAAAGAATTACTTGAAATAACTAGGCAATACCTTTCATGAATCAAAAAGGAGCGCACAAAGGAAAAGAAGCTAGTCTGATTTGACTCCCACTTGAATGCTACCTCAAAATAGGTCATGATAGTAGAATTAATGCTTACTACTACGGCAGCGTAGCAGAATCCGAACCCCAGACCGATTACCACACAACTCCTCACAACTGACACCACCACCGAAGGCAGATTGATCGACCCACTGG